CCTGAAGAAAACCCTGAGGAATCTGAGGATCCCGAAGAGAGCTCCGCTGAGTCAGAAGATCCTGAAGAGAGCCCTGAGGAATCCGAGGATCCTGAAGCAAACCCAGAAGAGTCAGAAGACCCTGAAGAAAGCCTGGAGGAGTCAGAAGACCCCAAAGAGAACCCCGAGGAGTCCGAGGATCCTGAAGAGAGCCCTGAGGAGTCGGAGATCAGGTTGGATCCGAATGTCCTGGTGGAACTGGCAGACAAACTCAAAGGTTTGCAACCCCCCCAAACCCTCCGAACCTCCCAGGGAAGGGCAGATCTGGTTTGGGACCCCCCGGACCCCCAGGGAAGGGCAGATCTGGTTTGGGACCCCCTGAACCTCCCAGGGAAGGGCAGATCTGGTTTGGGACCCCCCGGACCCCCAGAGAAGGGCAGATCTGGTTTGGGACCCCCTGAACCTCCCAGGGAAGGGCAGATCTGGTTTGGGACCCCCCAGACCCCCAGAGAAGGGCAGATCTGGTTTGGGACCCCCCAGACCCCCAGAGAAGGGCGGACCTTTGGGTTCTGTCTCTGTTCCAAGGTGGGGTTGGTGCTGCCGGGTCAGTTTGCTCCCGAGGGTTGGGAATGATCCCAAATCCCTGTCCCGGCTCCGAGCGGGAGGGAATGGGGGGCTCGGACCCCCCCGAGGCACAGACAGAGCCAGGACAGGGGACGGCGGCACCGCCGGGCGTCACACGGGGGGTCAGGACGTGCCAGCGCCAGCGCTTTGGGTGGGGGGGACCCCGAGGAGAGGGCGAGGAGCCCCTCGGGGTGCTGGAGCCCCCCGGGGTGCTGGAGCCCCCCGGTTTTACCCCGCAGAGGCGCAGGAAGGCAAGAGGAACGAGGGGGTCCTGTCTCTCGTGATGGACGCGATTAACTGGCTGGTGACCCATCTGAGCAACCACATCTTCGGGTGCGCACGGGGGCTCGGGCGGCCGCCCCGAGGTCAGCGCCCCAAAACGGCTCCCGGGCCCTCCCCGCGCCTGGGGGGTGGGGGGGCGGCCGGGGGGTCCCAAGGTGGGATGGGGGGGCTGGGCCGGGGCTGAGCTCCGCTGTGTTTGCTCTTTTCCAGGTGAGCAGTGAGCGCCCTGAGCGCCCTCAGCACCCTGAGCACCCTGAGCGCCCTGAGCACCCTGAGCACCCTGAGCGCCCTGAGCGCCCTGAGCACCCTGAGCACCCTGAGCGCCCTCAGCACCCTGAGCGCCCTGAGCACCCTGAGCACCCTGAGCACCCTGAGCGCCCTCAGCACCCTGAGCGCCCTGAGCGCCCTGAGCGCCCTGAGCGCCCTGAGCGCTCTGAGCACCCTGAGCGCTCTGAGCACCCTGAGCACCCTGAGCACCCTGAGCGCCCTCAGCACCCTGAGCGCTCCCCCCAGGGCCGGGACACGGATCCCGCTCCCCCCGCTGAGCTCCGGCTCGTCCCGCGGCTTTCCCCGCTCCACGCACCCCGCACATCCCAAATAAAGCCGGTCCCAAACGCTGCCCGTCGTGTCCTGCCGGCTCCTCCGGGGGCGGGGGAAATGGGGCCGGGGGCGGGGGGAAATGGGGCTGGGGGCGGGGGGAAATGAGGCCGGGGACTGTGCTGGGGCCCACCACAATGAACCCAGGACCCCCCACCCCATCCCGCTGCCCGTTTTTGGGGTCTTCAGCCGTGTCTTCCATCCTCATCCATCCCGGAGAGCCTCCTGCTGCTCCGCAGGGATGGGGGCACCCCTCCAGCTGTGCCCAGCTGTGCCCAGCTGTGCCCAGCTGTGCCTCCGGGTCCTGCAAACGCCAGAACCGCAGACCCCAACCCCCAGCCCCCCTTCCCGCTCCCCAAATTCTCTGTCCCAGCCCGGAGCTGGGCCCGGCTCTCCTTAGGGGTGCTGGGGGGGGGGGTCGCTCTCTCCCGAGACTCTCCCAGGATGGGCAGGAACAGCTCGGGGGTCCCCACGGGGGTCCCCAGCTCACTGGGGGCGGCACGCGGGGACCCTTGGGTGGCCGGGGAGTGGCGGGGGACAGCCTGGTGCCCTGTGCCACCCCCAACACCCCCGTCCTCGTCCCTTTCCCGTCTCTCCTCCCTGCGGGGCTGACCGCCACCCTTTGGGGGGGGGGTCCCAGACAATCCCCGGGGGTGTCCCCGGTGCCACGGCCGGTCCCATCCCCCCGGCACGGGTGTCCTGTTGGATTGGCAGCTCTGGCACCCCCGGCTGTGCCAGAGCCGTGCCCGGGGGGGCGGGGGGCTGCGGTTTCCATGGCGATGGCGATGAGGTGGCAGCTCCGTGGGAAGCGGGAGATCGGGGGAGGAAGGCTGGGGGGGGCTGAGGGGAGAAGCTCCGCGTCTTGCGGGAGCCGCGGGACCCTCCCGAGGGACCCCGGCCCCGCCCGGGATCAGCCCGGTCCCGGTTCCGTGAAGTCCTTGGGGTTGTTCCCCCCCAAAAACCGCACACGGGCCCAGGGCAGGCGGCTGAACTGGCGCCCACTGGTTCCCAGTTTGGAGCCCAGCAAAGAACGTCGCGTGGCTCCGTGTCCCCTCTCTGCTCACCCCCAGCTCACTCAGCTCTCCGAGAGCAGGAGAACACCCCAAATTTCTGATTTTCCCCTCAATAAATCCCGTCTAGGAACAAACGCGGCCCCTCCCGGCGCAGGGGATGCCTCATCCCGGTGTGAAGAGCTGCCTCATCCTCATCCTCATCCTCATCCTCATCCTCATCCTCATCCTCATCCTCCTCCTCCTCCTCTCTGGCTGGCATCTCACCGCGCCTCCTCCCACCGCTGCCGGGCAGCTTTTCGCCAAACCTGCCGCTTTTTTGGGCCGTTTTTCCCCAGGGAAAGGCTGGGGGGGATGCAGAGCCCCGCTGGGAGCCAGCCCAAGGGACGCCGAGGAGGCGGAAAAATGAATTCGGTGCGAGCTCCCAGCGCAGGTGAGAGAATTCACAGCTTCACAAAAATCTGCTTTTCCGGCTGCTTTGGGGTGGTTTTTTTCTCTTTTTTTTTCCCCGGAAAGAAGCTGTCGGTGAGCAGAGCCGGGCTCTGAGTGGGATGTCCCCGGGGAGGTGGCACAAGTCGTTCCCGACAGCTCCTGGCGCTGTCACTGTCCCCGAGGGGGAATGGAGCGAGGTTTGGGGCTGCAGCGGGGTTGGGATCAGGCTCCGGCCGCTGGGACCCAGCCGGGTGGGGCCACCGGTGTGGAAATGTCACCTGCGGCCACCTGGGCGCGGGCCGGGCGTGACAATGTCCCCAAAGCGCGGGAATTGACCCCAAATAAAGGACGGAGCGGAAAAACGGAGCCGGGGACCCCGCAGAGTTTTGGGATCAGCAGGGTGGTGACGTGAGGTGACGTCATCAGCTGGCAGGTGTTGACGTATGTGACGTCATCGGCTACCAGGCGGTGACGTCATCAGCTGCCAGGTGGGGACACCCAAACGTGTCACCTCCTGCTGGCTCCCGGGATGTCCCCGTCCGGAGCGGGGCCCCGAAAGGCCGCGATGTCCCCAGGGAAGGGAGTGGGGGGCACGGGGGGCACGGGGGG